TATACTTTCTTCTCAAAATCCATCTTTTCACATTTCAAGAAAAACTTATTTATCATTTTTTCATCTCATCAATTATGATTCAAAAGAAATTCTATCAATTACCTTTCCTTTAGAAAAAAAGTTTTAAAAACAATCAATCATTCACTCATTCTAACCTTTAATCCAAAAACGATAATTGCACTACCATAAGTCACTTACTCTAATCCGTACAACACCAATTATACATATCAAAATCTATCATATAGTCAAACAATCTCATTCAATTCATTATAAAATTGTCCTAATTACACACTTAAATCCCTAACACAAATCCACTACGTCATGCATATCTACACAATCATGTAACTCAACAACAAGTAAAACATAATTAAAAAGAAACCGGCTTCGTCAAAAACATTCCAACACAGTTTTACCGGATACTACTCAGAGAACCGATCTCAAAGCGCTACGCTTTACTGGTGGCTAGCCAAAAGGAAAGCATAACCTCCATATAGCTCAATAGTCCACATGTATAGTGGCCTGGGTTAAGACCTAACCCTTTTATACTCATTGATTCAGGATTCGGTACTCATTTTTGTTGTTTATACTCCTTTTAGTCTTATTGTTGATTGGATTGGGTTTTCGTTTAAATTCTTGTTATGTGACAGGTTGGGAGTTAATATTTCAAAGGGAATTCCATTAGTTTATTCTTTAGTTTGCTCGAGTGGTCTTTTCTTCGCTCGATCGATTTTTCGTTTCTCCCAGAATTTTGTGTTTGCAGTTTGAACTTCTGGGAGTATGGTGTTTTTTGCTTGATTGGTCTTTTCTTTGCTTGAGCGGTCTCCTTGCAAATTTGAACTTTTGAGAGGGGGTCATTCTTCACTCAAGCGTTGGTTAGTTTGCTCGAGCAATTTGTTCTACAAGACTGTTTATTATGAGAGTTTGGTTTCTTTGCTCAAGCCTTGGTTTGGTTGCTCGAGCTGTAACAACCCTCGCCACTGTTTACCGATTAACCACTGATTACTGCTAAATTGAGACTGATTATGATTGGTAACTGAATTGATTGAAGTACTAAACTGACTGACTGAAATCTGGAACTGAATTGATTAAGTATATCTGTTTAATTGTATGTCTATCTGTTGACTGTTTGATTATAATCGGAGCGGGAAAAATTCATGTGGCGTGGTGTGGGGTGGGGTGAGGGATACAGGTGCAGAGAAAATGATCATGCCACTGCTGGAAAAATGACTTTTAGCGGCTTTTAAAAACGCCGCTATATGTATGAAAAACGCGCTAATTTCTTTAGTGACGCTTATCACCAAACGTCGAGGATGCGGCCGTCGCTATAAGTTTATGACGCTTTAAAAACGTCGTAAAATTAGTATAGGCGGGCTAAATGCGATAAAAATGATAAAATGACGTCATCCAATATTTAGCGACGTTTTTAAAACGCCGTGATAGATTTTTTTATTTTAAAAAAATGTCCGTTGGCACTGTAGTGGCGTTTTGAAAAAACGCCGTTATAGCTCTTTTTTAAAAAAAAAATTGTTCTGAATCTGTTATATTTAACTAAAAAACATACCTGTAATAAAGCTGAAAAATAACAATAATATGAATAAACTTTTTTTTTTTTTTTTTTTGAGATTGTGCTAGTTTTATTTGATTAAATTAAAAAGAATACCTGTAAGAAAATATTGAATTTGGTTTCTCATTCAATTAATAAAAAAATAACTATAATAAAACTAACATACAAAATATTAACTCCCATTCAAATACCTATAATAAAACAAACAGATATAATAATAACTCCCATTCAAATAACAAATGAAGCATTAATTCAGTTTCATATGTGCAATAGCAACAACGAATCGATAGAGCGACCATAGCTCATTCGTTGTAAGCTACCTTATTACTAACCTATTAACATACAAATAAAATAAAATACATAAAAAAAAGTTCGTGATACCAATACAAGATTTTGATACAACTGGCATACAGAAGCCAATGCAATGCTCTACCTCTTTAGCCTGTTGTTTCTCCCAGTCCTCTTTAGACAGAATATTTCAATAGTTATCCAAATACAATGGTAAAAGGGTTTTTTTTTCTCCAAATACAAGAAGACTCTACAAATATACATTATGACATAGACTGAATGTATACGAATGGTATGTTAAACTTTGCAAAGCCAATCTTGAATAGCAAGTCTCAGTGCATGGTTGGGAGTGAGATGCAAGTGATCCAGTCTCAAATTGGTCATCGGGGAAGTTTCTCGGCCATTTTCCAACCATCCACGCAGAGCATCTCCTTCGTAGGTGAATCCATCGGCTGCCACCTGAGGATCGTGCATTATCTCCTGAAAGCAAAACCACCAATAATCCGAGTCAGGTACGGTTCTGCAAAAGATTTTCACAAAAATTCACTAGATTAAATAAATCATCTTGCTCGAGAAAAACCACAGGAATGAAATAAAATTCTGTTCTCTGTCCAAATAGGACCTACAAGGCTATTCCAATTTAGCTACTTCAATCACTTCTGAAGCTTAGTTTGTAGTTCACTTAGGGCATACACCAACTTGAAGATTCTTCATGAGCATTACTGAGGCTAATCAATCCTGCTCACAAGCACAACGCTCCCACTTGAATGAAAAAAAGAAAAACCTTGTAGTGTTCTCTAGAAAGCTAAAAAGCATCACAACACAACAGTTAATGCTACATAGCACCTATTACAATTGATGAGCCTTGGCAAGTATATGAGAAAGCACCCTTTGGCTCGGTATACCGCCGGAAACTTGGGCAACGGAGGGTCTCTCCTGGCATTAGTCTACAAATCCCGAAATCACATAGCTTGCAGTTGAGATTGGAATCAAGAAGGATGTTTTCCGGCTTTAGGTCGCCGTGTACAATCTTTTCAGGTTTGAACGAGTGCAAGAACAAAAGGGCACTTGAAATTTCAGCAATGATTCGTACTCGAACTTTTTAGACAGAATATTTCTTTTTAGAGGAAAATTTCAGCAATGTAATAAGCCTGTAGAAATTGGCTGTGCCCTTTCCAGAAAAATCATAAGCCCTTTCCAAGTAATAAGACAGAATTAGCTTCTAACTGGAAAATTTCAGCAATATTGAGCAAGTAATAAGCCAATTTCCGATTAGATTCTCACACTTTTTTCGCCAATATTGAGAATCCAATTTCTCAATATTGAATCCAATTTCAGCAATATTGAGCAAGAATCCAATTTCAGCAATATTGAGAAAGCCTGTAGATAAGCCTGAAAGGGCACAGCCAATTTCTACAGCCCTTTCTTAAAAAGTAATTTTTTTTGTGAGGAGAATCTAATCGGAGCTTTCTCAATTGGAAAGGGCACAGCCAAGTAATAAGCCTGTAGCCATAAAAATCATAGAACTTTCTTTCCTTTACCAACAGAAAAACTAACTAATTATCTATACTATCTATGCTATTATATAAAGTGCACGTGTCAGTTGGCGTGAATGCTTCCTCACACTTTTTTCGTTTTCCAGAAATGCCCACAACTGCCAATGAGTTTGAACACTGCCATGTGAAGAATCAAACAGACTGAAATATTTCGATTTCCACAAACATGAACGGTTTTACAGACCTTTGCACAACATTGCGTGTGCACCTGCTGCTAGTAAGAGATATGATGATAGAATTGTTATAATCAATTTGAGGGATACAAAAAAGGGGATATTATATGAACCTGGAAATGAAGGTGGTTGATTGTAGCAAATGCACCCAAGCTGTTGTAACCCAATCTGAAGTACGGGTTTCCAGCTTCTGCTGCCATGTAAAGAGCAAGCAAGAAACTCACCTTGTCGATCCTCTGAGGCAGGCATTCAAGAATCCAAGGGATCAAAAGTACATGACCATACTCAATAGGACTAACCTGTTGACGCATAATTAAAATAAACCAGCTTAGCTAAAACTTCTTCTATACACAATCTTAACATGAAGAGCAAGTAAAGCAGGCATACATTGATGGCCACGACACTTGGAGAATTCTCAACATCGATGGGTGCATTTGGGAAGAACTGGGTTTCATTGTCTTCATCACTTGCTTCAAATTGGAAAAGCACCTCTTCCTGTCCAACTTTAGTGAAGTTGAATTTGTTCCCATCAAAGGGCTGCAGGACCTTATCAACACGAAACTTAGTTGGCCTCTTCTTAAGGTGTCTGCCCTCATTCAGCTGTGCAATGAATCCATACTCTCCCGGGATTACCTGAAAAATCATCATCTATTCTATTATATAAAACACAACTCAGAAAAGTTTTGAAGGATTGTTACACTTTCTTTCTTTTTTTTTCTTTCTTTCTTTTCAAAAATGTCCATGTTGTTAACTAATCCAGTAAATAACTGTCAATACTTTTCAAATTCAACCCATATTTCCCATTCATCAAATCACCAAAAAAATTAGATCTAAAATTGAAAGCCCATTGCGTATGCACGCATAGCTAGTAATCATACAAGTCCAGATGAACCATATTGAGCAAAGTACTCAACTAAGCAGAATTTAGACTGAAAAATTTAGCTATAAACTATCAAAATGAAGAGAAAGAAAATGGCAAAGACCTTGGTTTCGCAAGCGGTGACATCATAGCGAAAGAGCCCTCTCTGCATACGATCCTCCCACTACCATCAAATGGTAACGATATCAGCTGATTATGATGATTGGTAAATACAAAATTTGAAGCTAAAACTTTCACAATTTACCTCCCCAAGAAGAAGAGAATCCAAGAAAGCAATGGAAGGCTCTATGTAGTCAAGAGCAATTAGACCCTTTTCACCGACAATCTTGTTCACCCTCTTAAAAGCATACAGAGGTAGCTTTGCTCCTAATTGCATGAACATTATGACCAATTTACCTGAATTTGCACTTTCTTAACTGCCTCTGTAAGCAACTGACACCCCATAATATCCTGCACAAGCCAGAGAAAGTTCTCACCAGCGATTTTATTTTTCTAGGAATAGCAATTACATCAGTCAACATTTCAACATTTGAGTATAAGGAATAGTTTAATCAATTTATGCCTAAGTAGCGAAGCAAAGTTGATAACTAAATCTATGCAACGACTCACCCGGAGTCTGAAAAATAACTTGTGTAGCTGTGTAGCTCTCTCATTATCAACTTGGGGAATTATAGATTTGAGCAATTCAGCAAATTGCACTCTAACTTGACACTCAGGTTGGCTACCTTTTGTGCATTTAGTATTCAACTTCTCTAGTACTGAATGTTGGTGTTGGTTGCCGAGAAACTGCTTTTCCATATCTGGGATGTTGGAAGGGTTTTCTTGAGAAACCTGGATCTCTTTAGTTTGAAGGAACCGGACAGAATACTGCTCACAACTTCACAAGATAACATGCAAACACTAGCTTATAATTTTGTAAGAATATCTGTAGTTATGAAGACTACAGATAACAACTTCACAAGATAACATGCAAACACTAGCTCATATTAGATATAGCAGAAGCCAAGTACAAACACAGCTTTAAAAACCACAAAAATGTGAGTTGTCTACTAGAGATCATAAAGACCACCACAAGATTCATACTTGACTGATGAAAAGCCAACATTCAACCCCTATCAAAGTTGGCCGACACATTCAAAACTTGGTAAATAAGAAAGCATTGTATATAGATGATTCACTAATCAAAAAGTGAGAAACCCATATCTTCATCTTCACTCTCCTCTTTCTCTTCCTTCTTCTCCTCAGCTGGAGGTGCTTCAGCAGCTAGGGCTCCACCTCCACCTGCAGGAGCTGCAGCAAAAGCGACACCTCCACCTCCACCAATAATCACCTGCAGTCGAATCAGTTTAGCAAAATATCGGATGGCTTTACAGATCATGAAAAGGGGCCACAGAACAATGAAACAGAAATTAGTATCAAAAGGCACTACATGGACTTGGAATACCCATTGTAGCTTTCTGGTGGCTTTTGAGTTCAGTTGGTCGGCCAAGTTCCTTAACAAAATGCCTCCACTTCAAACAAATATTATCTTTCGTTTTACTGAAACTCTACGCTGTAATATATAGAATAACCTTACATAGTACTTTTACCTTGTTAGTTCTTCTTCTTCTTCTTATTCTTCTTCTCTTTCTTTGAAAGGTGAACCTATATTTAATAAGAGCAAGTATTGTAATTAATAAGATATGTTATTTGTCAAAAAAGCTTTGATTAAATGATTGCTCACCTCTTGGGATGAAAATGCATGAGATTGTTGTTGATGTGACATTGGCCGAACAGTGGGATGACTACTAAGTGAATCCACAACCTATCATTCAATAAGAGACTTAAGTTGTATATTAGCTCTAGGCAATTTAAAGTAATAACTAGTAAAAATAATTAAAATACCTGCTGCCTATGTAATGAGTTTGATGGTGCAACAACTGGGACAAGGGAGGAACAAGCGAGACTGCCTTAGGCACCAGCAGCACCACCCCCGCCAGCACCACAACCGCAAGCAGGCGGACCTCGAGTGATCAATGTGATTCACTCGAAGGTTAATGAGAACGAGATATGTAAGGAGACTCAGAAAGTAAAACACTAGCAACATGTGTATCAGGTTCGACAAAAAAGACCTAGGGCAGGCGAGCACCAAGGACCAATGGTGTCCTTTACTGAAGACGACCTAAAGATGGTGCAGCTTCCACACAATGATGCCCTAGTAATATCCCTCCAGGTTGGAGAGTTCCAAGTAAAGCACATTCTAATTGACCAGGCCAGCTCTTGTGACATCATGTACGCCAGATGTTACAAGGAGCTTGGCCTTCACCAAGGTGATCTGAAGTAGTCCAATGGTCCAATGGTTGGGTTCATTAGAATGCCAACATGGCCCCTGGGAGGCTGGCACCAAGAAGGTAAAAACAGAGTTCACAATAATTGGCACCCCCTCCCCTTACAATGATATCCTGGGAAGGCCATGGTTGCATACAATAGGGGTTGTTCCCTCAACATTACACCAGCTACTGCGGTTCTCAACAAAACATGGAATTGAGGAGGTCAAAGGGGATCAGGTACAGGCAAAGAATTGCTACATTGCAGCAATGAAGTCCACCTGCAGCGTGCGAAGAGCAGAATCAACAGCAATTGAGGACGAGGACATGGAGGTCCTTGAGGACGTCCGCAAAGAACCAGCCGAGAAAAGTGAGGAAGCCTTGAAGAAGATCTTAGTCCAGTAAGGGAATAAAGAGCGTTTCTTCCTTCTCGACTCAGACTTGGCCGAGGAAGAGGAAAAGGAATTAAAGGCATTCTTGAGAGCAAACCTTGAAGTGTTTACCTAGACACCATACGAAATGCTTGGCATTGACCTCGAGGTCACTTGCCATAGACTAAATATGGACAGGTCAGCCAAACCTGTCATCTAGCAAGCAAGGAGGCCTACGTTGATGCATTTGAGACAGTGAAAGGGGAAGTGAATAAACTTCTAGAGGCCAAAGTTATTCGAGAGGTAAAACTACCCAACATGGTTATTAAACACGGTTGTTGTGAAGAAAAAGAATAGGAAGTGGAGGGTCTGTGTAGACTTCACCAGCCTGAACAAGGCTTATCCCAAAGACAGTTTTCCACTCTCCAAAATTGACCAATTGGTGGATGCCACCTCAGGACATGAAAGGATGAGCTTCTTGGATGCTTACAGAAGGTACCATCAGATAGCCATGTACCCCCCAGATGAGGAGAAGACTGCATTTATCACCCCAAAAGGGTTGTATTGCTACAGAGTGATGTCTTTCGAGTTGAAAAATGCAAGAGCAACTTACCAGAGATTGGTGACTAAGATGTTCAGACATCTAATAGGCAAAACAGTGGAGGTATACATTGATGACATGGTCGTGAAGACCAAGGAACCTGAGAATCATCTGGCCGACCTGAAAGCAGTCTTTGATATCCTGAGGACATTTCGGCTCTGACTCAATGCGTCGAAGTGCGCATTTGGAGTTAGGTCAGGAAAGTTCCTGGGATACTTGGTCACCAGAAAGGGCATTGAGGCAAGTCCGGATCAGATCAAGGCCATCTTGGAGTTAAAAAGCCCAACGTTGGCAAAACAAGTGCAGATGTTTTTTGGAAAGGCTGCAGCCCTAAATAGATTCATAAGCAGAAGTTCTGACAAATGCAATCTTGGAGTTGAAGAGCCCAACGTTGGCAAAACAAGTGTAGATGTTTTTTGGAAGGGCTGCAGCCCTAAATAGATTCATAAGCAGAAGTTCTGACAAATGCAAACCTTTCTTTAGTTTAGTGAAGAAAGCCACAGACTTCTTATGGACAGAAGAGTGCGAAGTCGCCTTGGCCGACTTGAAGAAATACTTGACCACCGCTCCAATTCTCTCAAATCCAGTACCTGGAGAGGAACTGTTCTTATACTTGGCGGTTTCAGAGCATGCAGTGAGTGCAGTGATAATCAGAGAAGAAAAGGGAGAACAAAGGGCAGTTTACTACGTGAGTAAAACCCTAGCAGATGCAGAGACTAGATACTCACCCCTGGAGAAACTGACATTGGCTTTAGTAATGGCTTCCAAGAAGCTGAATCATTACTTTCAAGCCCACAAAATTGTGGTATTATCCTTTGAAGTCCCTGTTACAACAAGGAGATCTAACCGGCAGGATAGCAAGATGGGCAGTGGTGTTGGGCCAATATGATCTGGAATTCAGACCCAAAAAAGCAATCAAAGGCCAGGTTTTGGCCGACTTCGTTGACGAGTTCACACCAGGCGCCATTATACATCGGCCCTCGTTGAGTCACGGTTTAGGTGAACAAGAAGAAACCCGGCGGGGGATAACAGAACAGAAGAAAAAAGAGAAACTCAGGCCCTGCGGTATTTATGTTGGCGACTCCTTCTGCCTATTTGTTGATGGGAGTTCAAACTGACAAGGAGCGGGGCAAGAGTTGTGCTAGTCCAGATGGGCGGATACTGGAATAATCTATTCGTTTGGGGTTTAAAGCCTTAAACAGTGAAGCAGAGTATGAAGTACTGATCGCAGGATTGAAGTTGGCAGTAGCAATGGAAGCTGATGAGGTAATGGTCTTCTGTGACTCTCAGCTTATCGTCAACCATGCAACAAACGAATACGAAGCCCGAGATGAAAGGATGATGGCCTATGTAAAGGAGATGGGTAGACTGGTAGCCTTATTCTAGAATTGCCGACTACATCTAGTTAGTCGAGATGACAACAGCCACGCTGATGCCTTGGCAAACCTAGCCAGTGCAATGCAATCAGGAGAGGCAAGGACAATAATGGTTGACTATTTGTCAGACCCAAGCATAGAACCATTGAACACAGAGTATGAGGCAATGTGTGTAGTAATGGGACCAAGTTGGATGGATACGATAATAGTATTCCTTAAAGATGGGAAACTACCAGATGATCATAAAGAAGCAAACAAGATCAGACTAAAGTTGGCAAGATTCAGTCTGATAGTAGAAAGACATCTCTACAGAAGATCTTTTACTGGTCCCCTTTTGAGGTGTGCATCCTTCACAAGTTGAAGACTTCCTGTATGAAATACATGAAGGAGTATGTGGAAGCCACACTGGGGGCAGATCACTTGCTCATAGGGCCATTACTCAGGGGTACTGGTGGCCCTATATGCAGAAAGATGTTGAAGCTTATGTCAGAAAGTGTGAGAAGTATCAGAGGTTTGTATCTTTGATACACCAACCAGCAGCGGATTTGAACCCAGTGTCCAGCCCTTGGCCATTTGCCCAATGGGGCATGGATCTTGTTAGACAACTGCCTCAAGCGACTACACAAAGGAAGTTTCTACTAGTGGCAACAGATTACTTCACCAAGTGGGTAGAAGCTGAACCCCTTGCAAAGATTCAGGACATTGATATAAAGAACTTCATATGGAAGAACATCATCACCAAGTTTGGGATCCCAAGGGCAATAATAGCAGACAATGGTATGCAGTTTGACAATAAGCTAATCAAGAGTTTATGTGCAAAGTACAAAATCAAGAACTACTATTCCACTCCAAGCTTCCCTCAAAGCAATGGACAAGCATAAGCATCCAACAAAACTATCTTGGATGTGATTAAGAAAATGTTAGAAGCAGCAAAGGGGAAGTGGGTGGAAGAGTTGCCCAATGTACTTTGGGCATATCGGACTACGCCGAGAAGATCAACTGGGGAATCCCCATTCGCCATGGCTTATGACACAGAAGCAGTTATTCCACTGGAGGTCGGCATCCCAGGGATCAGAATCCAGGGAGTAGAAAATGGGACCAATGAGGCATTCATGGCCCGAGATTTGGATCTGTTAGAAGAAAGAAGAGAGAAAGCAGTAATTCAACTGGGGGCGTCCTGAGAAAGGTCGTCGGCAACAAGAAGGATCCCAGAGAGGGAAAGCTTGGGCCAAATTGGGAGGGACCTTATAGAATCATCTAGGTCCTGGGCAATGGGGCATATCGGCTTGAAGACAGTGAAGGCAAAGAGTTGCCAAGACCCTGGAATACTTGCAACTTGAAGTTTTTCTATCATTAGATTTTTTGTTTTTTAAATTTTTTTTGTTATTAGTCGAAGTAATAATAAAATTTTAGCTTGATTTTTAATTTCAAACTTGTGTAGTACGACTGAGCAGTCACTTGGCGATATTTCTAAGTGAAACATGATGAGTAACTTAGACTCATTATATGACAAAGTTGAATTACACTTGCATATAATAGAGTTGAACTACGTTGGCGATGTTTCTAAGTGAAACATGACGAATAACATAGACTTATTATATGGCAGAGTTAAATTATACTTTCATATAATAGAGTTGAACTAAGTTGGCGATGTTTCTAAGTGAAATATGACGAATAACTTAGACTTATTATATGGCAGAGTTAAATTATACTTGCATATAATAGAGTTGAACTAAGTTGGCGATGTTTTTAAATGAAACATGACGAATAACTTAAACTTATTATATGGCAGAGTTGAATTATGCTTGTATATAATAAAGTTGAACTAAGTTGGCGCTGTTTCTAAGTGAAACATGACGAGTAACTTAGATTCATTATATGGCAGAGTTGAATTACACTTGCATATAATGGAGTTGAACTAAGTTGAATTAACCTGGACTTGCCATATCAGCAGAGTCAAACACAGATTGAAACTAAGTACATTTGAGTAAGATTGACAGAGGAACTAAGGTTGAGAACCTTGGCTAGTCTCTGTTTGAATATAACTTCGGCAACAAGGTCATAGCCACATGCTTAATGAGAACCTAAGTGAAACTTAAGTTCACATTAGGGGGCAGAGAACTGGAGAATGATGCTTGGGACAACACTTGCTGAAATTTTCAGAAAAATTTACAAGTTAAAGTCAAGCCGAGGTGATATTGGAAGAAGTACATACGTGCTTGCCGAGATTACTAGGTTACTAAACTTGGAAAATATGAAAGACTAAAGTC